GTACTTTTTATTTTGTAATCTTAAAAACCACCAATGGGTAAGCACAGACTTTCCCATGAGTGCCAGAACCAATGACATAAATGCTTCCTTCTAAATCCCCCCAAATTATGCAAAGATAACCTGGAAATAAACTTTTGTCCACAAGAGGAGCTTCTGTTGGTTCTTCACAAAAAGATATTTTTTGACTAGTTGTAAATGTGAAAAATGCTACTTAATGGATATGATAAAGAAACTCCCAAAGGAGGTAAAAGTATTTTCTCCATTCCTACCCTAATTAAGTGGCCAGAATTCAAATGCACTGTCTGAATTTTGACTTTAGAGCATCCAACTATAGATTCCCAGTCATATCTTTGTCTCCTACTGATGAAAGCATCTGTCTCTTCTGGTCTCAGGAACTAGACAGGAAAGTACTTCACAGGCTTACTATTATTAACAAATTTTAAAAAGGCCCATAAGGATTCCAAAAATTCAATTTTAGTGTATGTGCTGCTGAAGCGAGCACAGGATTCCAAAAATTCAGACAGGAAACTCAGGACGTGATATTTACTATTTACTGCAAGTCATGATGTTTCCACGCCTTTTCCTAAGAACCGCGTGCGGCTTTTCTGAGCACCGCTAGGTTTCAACTGCTTCACAGCCAGGGTATCCCAGATGCGCTGGAGTCTGTGGTCCCCCTGCACTGTGTCCTTTCCCTCTCGTGGGCACTCGAGGCCTGAAGGTCTGATGTCCCGCCCCTGACAGCCTGCACAGCCCTGGGATGCAGAGAACAAGGCTCCCCGGCTCCCCTCAACTAAGGCTGTCTTCCACTGGATTCTGAACCCTGTACAACGAAGGGCCCCCATCTCATTATCCCACCTTCCCTACTGGAAGAACCAGAAAGAGATGCCTCATCCTTAGTCTCTGACACAATAACTGAGTAGGCAATCTTCTGAACTTGCTCTGTACCAGTAAGAAGAAAACTGATAAAAAGAAAGAAAGGTGAAAAATTCCTAGTGCTGGGAGACCAGCAGGCTGATTTCAAGTCTGTCACACAGGCGTATGAAATAAGAGCATCTAGGAAAAAATACAATCTCCCTTGGAACGTCTTCCCATTCCATCTACATTCCAGAATTCCGTGCTCCACTCCTCTTCCATCTAGGCTGAAGAAATGATGTAGGATCGTTTCTTTGGAAAGGAGAAATGTACAATTACTCGTTACGGGCTAAAAAATGCATAAAGTCACACCCAGCCCCAAGAGTCTGCTACTCTCACGGAGGTCCTCATCATGACATAGGCTTCTTGTCCATTTTTCATTTGGGCAACTTTTCACTTCTCACACTCGTCCACCCCGGAGAACCACCCATGGGGCTTACTGAAGATTCAGATTCCATTGCTCCTTCCAAACTGAATCAGGATTTTCGGAGGGAAGGACCCAGGACTCTGCTCCTTTAGCAAGCTGCAGGTAATTCTTATGATGAGGTTCAGTTTGAAGAACAGGGACCCTGGGATTATGCTCATCTTTTAAAAAAAAACTCCATTCCTAATTTTTCCTTTATGAGTCCCTGAGGAACTAGTATATTGATTAAAAGTACTGTGAACTGCACATATAAAGATAGAACCAGTCCACTTTGCAGGCTAGCCTTTTAGAGTAGCTAAGTAATGTACGCAAGTAAACTAGCAGCTCTTAGTTGTTAAATCATTAGGCTGAGGGTTGGTGGGTCTAAGCCACTAAAGCAGATGAGGTTCCTCTAAATTTCAATTATTTGAGGCATTATCCTGCTTTCCAGCCAGACTGTGCAAAGGGATGGTCTCGTCTAGCATGTGCTAATCAAAGACCTGTACAGAGTGAAATGGTTAGGTCTAAAAGTCAAAAGACAATGCAAACTCAGGAGGAACTACTGGAGAATGGCATAAAAAGAAACCAAAGTGGATCTGGAGGCGTGTTTTCTTTCACCATGCTAGATCTTGTGTGTAGCACCAAACACGGCACATAGAAGGCATTTAAATACACGGCTGGCGAGCGGAAGAATGAGGGTTGATGAATGAATGGGGTATGTGTCAGTGATACAAATAAAAATGACATCGTATAATTCAGTAGCATCTTTAGGGAAAAGTGTTGTTTAAAATTTCTATAAATTACCTGGTAGAAAACCGTTACCAGCCTTTCACCTAAATAAATGACACTGAATTTATTTTCAAAACAGGAAAGGCAAATCCTGAGAGGCCCACAGAAGCACAAAAGTAAAGAGAAAGAAAAGAGGAGGGAATGAGAGCTACGAAGAGGGTGCTTCGGGCGTAATAAAATCTGAGACGAGCAGCCCACAGGATGGCAGTACACAACGTCTTGGCAATGCTCCTCCCCGGGGGTGGGCCCGGGGGCTGGAAACCACGTACAGCACACGTGAGGGACAAATTCACCAAAACCACGACAGAACACAGAAGGAGAGGAGAACTCAGGTCAAGGGAAGGCAAAGAGCCAGGGAAACAGAATGAAGAAGGGGGGGGGGAACGTGCAACGTGTCATGCGGGGACCTCGGAGAGGACGAGTGGGCACCAGGCAACACTCAGTGAGCACAGAGGACGGGTGAAGGCGAGACACACCTCAGTCACAGAAACAAACTGCTTACCCTCCGCTTTAGTGGAAGTACCATCTTTAAGCAAATTAAAAAACAAGGGAAGGGATAACAGGGAACAGTTAGTAACAGTAAAAAAATTAAAAAGCAGAATGTTATTAGCTACTAAAAAAGCAAAAGTACAATTTAAAATAAAACTGAAAAAGAAGTTCAACAGCAAAGCAGATTCTGAAGCGAGTAAGTGCGCCTTGTGTTAAAATCGGCTTAGTATTATGTCGCTTTTGGCTTTTGGAAAACAAAACGAAACATGGCAAACCCAGGGTAGTGCCTCGGTCGATAGTATTGATTTTCTGTTTGAGCCAACCCTCATCCTCTTCAGAGTTTCTTTTTCTTAGAACCAAGTACCAGCAGCGTAAGGGGGAAAAACCAAAAACTAAAGTACTGAAGAGTCACCCAAAGGACAGAGGCGAGTAGGAAGCTGACAGAAGCTGGCTCTAGCAATGGCGCCTATCCCAACCACATGGTGAGCAGCAGAGGCTGTTCAGCGGGGTACCTGCGTCAAGGCCTATGGACTCCGTATCTTCCCTCACGTGTCTGGACTCTAGAAGTTCGGAAAAGGATCGTCAGCTTTAATGCTACACTTCTGCACAGATGTAACGTGCCAACCTAAGTAGTAATCATAACAATTTCTCAGTAGGATTATGTTAAATTTCCAAGGGTTTTTGTTGTTTTGTGGTTTAGGACATGAGGCAAGTAGGGACAGATGATCTCTCGGGAGAGAATGGAATATTCCAGTCCTGTTATCTGAAGAGCTAATGAGGGGCTGAAAATTTATCCTCGGTGCTTTAAGAGGTCAATTCTGTATCATCAGACCAAAAGACCTGGGTGCTTTTACGGGCACCAAGGGAATTCTACATGGTCCCTATTAAAATATCCCAAATATGCACAGAAAAACAAAGACTACTGAGTACTCTAAAAGATGAGTTTTACTCAAATTTTCAAGCAATGAAACAAATACTGATGACAAACACTCAAGGCAGATAAAATGTATTGAAACACGAGTACATACTTAAAAACTGACCTAAAATGAACAGAGCTACTCCACCCTGGGAGAGAACCATCCTGACTTCCCCCTTCCTCGATGACTACATACCAACCGAACATCATAAACACTCTGATGTGATGCCACAGTACTAAAATGGTAGAAAGGGAGAGCACTTAGGGGGTTCCTTCCCTATCAAAAGGTACCTATGTCTGAGGTAGTTCCCTAGAGAAACAAGACTGACTTAACTGACTTAACGTTCCAGAACACACACCTCTCATGTTGTAATGCTCCTAGCACAATCTGTTTTTTCACCTTACGTGATAACAGATTACGAAGGACTTTTATATCCTTTCATTTATCCCCTACTTGTGTCTGAGCTGGGTGACTACTACCACAACTAATTAGTTGGAGAAACCAGCTTCAGAGACTGCGTGGCCCGTTCAAGCTCACCAAGCTCATCAGTGGCAGCCCAGTAATCTTCTCTTGCTGCTCTCTCACTGGGCTTCCATGCTCAGAACACTTTTAGAACATTAGTTTCAGAAATGACTTTGGAATTGGTTTGTAAACCACATAAGTAATTCAGTCTCAATGTTCCATGAAGCTTAAATTGTATGTATTCAATTTCCAAAATCCAAAATAAAACCAATCTGGCGAAGTCTCAAGATTTTGGCTTGAACGACTTGGCTCAAACAAAAATAAAATGTAATCAATTATCAGCCTTACATATGGGTGTTCAGTTGTCTGCTGAAAAACTGACCTACCATTCTGTCAGATATGAATTCTTTTAAAAATAATTTTTTAATCCTTTGGCTATTGCTAGAGTAAGTACACTTTCCTCCCAAGGCGACACATGGAAGACCAACACCGTTCTGTGGAATATGGTTATGTTGGCTAGTAAATCCACCCCATTTCTCTAGAGATGCCCCTTGTTGTGGCCCCTGCGTCCCGCACCTCTGCCACCCGTCATTCTCAAATTGGGAAACACCTAACTACGACAGTCTTTGGGGATTCCCTCACAAAACCCTCCGACTCTGCCCCCCACCGATGTCACGAGGGGGAAAAAAAGCCAGCTCTGGCAATAGGGGAGGTGGCGTAGGTGCTGGCTGGGCTGCCACGGAAGGGGGGAGTGAAGCTGAAGGATGTGTTCAGTGTGACACGCCATGTGAGCACCCAGGTACTTACTCGTCACTAAAAGGGATCATGCTCCAGAGAAAGGGAACACAACAAAGGCTGGCTGAGAACCAGCAGTAAGTGCACAGAGCTACTTATACTTAAATATCAGCCCTAAAGCAGTGAGAATTTCCTCAATGATCGTGTTTTATAATTTGCTAAATAAATTTGAGCAGGGCTAACTGTAATCTCAAGCAGCAGAACTGGGGGGAAAGGAGGTGGGGTCTGGTTACCTAAGGATGCATATGACCCGGGAGGCAAGGCTGCTGCTGAGCTGAAAGGCGTAGCTCCCGAGGCCGAAGACACCTTGGACTTGGCACTGGCTGCTGCATTCACGTCAATATCGCTTCGAGACCGCTGGAGCGACCCGGTCGTTGACACGGATTTGGTGCTAACTGTAGAAGCTTGAGTGGTAAAGAAGGACACATCAGTAGGGACTACACTAGAATTGTAAATACACATCATTAAAACTTGTTTTGATTTTCTTATCAAGATTTCTTTAAAAAAAAAAAAAAAAAAGTAGGCTCCACGCCCAGCATGGAGCCCAATGCGAGCCTTAAACTCACATCCCTGAGGGGCGCCTGGGTAGCTCAGATGGTTAAGCAACTGCCTTCGGCTCAGGTCATGATCCCAGAGTCCTGGGATCGAGTCCCACATCGGGCTCCCTGTTCAGCAGGGAGTCTGCTTCTCCCTCTGACACTCTTCCCTCTCATGCTCTCTCTCTCAAATAAATAAATAAAATCTTAAAAAAAAAAAAAAAAACAAAACTCACATCCCTGAGATCCAGACCTGAGTTGAGATCAAGAGTCGGGACGCTTAACCGACTGAGCCAACCAGGTGCCCCTTCCCAGCAAGTTTTAACAAAGGCTGGAGTGCGTGAGCAATGACGTGCTGTTTTTCCTGGTCACTGGAGACAGTTCAGCCAACACAATGCTGAGGGAAATCAAGTGACCATGACCATATACACCCATTCCATTTCTTTTCTTGTAATCAAAGACTATAAACCCCAAAGAAACAGCCCCTCTTTCTGGTTAATGTGAGGAGTGAGGTAATGAAAAAGCGCACACATCTGGCCAGTTTCTGCACGATGTGGCCTAAAAGCAGGCACCCCGACTCCAATGCCCTCCTGCTCTCGGGGAACATTCTACTCTCCCACCTCTAACAGCCACTGCACTGCTGCTGCGGGGGCGGCTCCAAGCATCACCAGCTATCCTCACTCTTGTCCAGTGACCGGAGCAAGGGAGCGGCACTATTCAAGTGGAAAGGTCCCAGGACTCCCCTTCTGCATGTGTTCCTCACTGCCCTTGGCTGCCGGCGCAGTGGAGCTCTGCTGGGCATAGCTGGAGCACCGAGCAGCAGGCTCTGCAAACCCGAGGGGCACCTGAAAGCAGGTGGCTGGCTTCTGGCGGCAGAACAGCCCCTGGGAGCAGCACCGGAAACAGAGGCCTCCCCGAGGGGGCCTTCACTATGGCCGTCGGTCTTACCTCTAGAGGTGGTGCTTCCAGTAGGACTTCTTTTGGCAGAGAGCGGCCGGCTGAAAATAAACGTACACGCATGTTCATTATTACCAAATGTGCATTTCATCTGCGTTCACCCAAGTACTGTCTACAACAGGAAACTAGGATAATGAAGGAATCATTTCAGAGTTTTTCGAATTAACTGGGACCACAATCTTATAAATCCCCGATTTCAGACAAAGCTGCAGCATTCTATTTTGGACTATCTTCCAAACATTCAGAGAGAAGTCATAACTCAAAACAGAAGTTAGAAATCCAGAGTGAGGATGATAATACATTTATTCCCAGATTCCTAACACCCTTCCCCTTTCCAGACTTGTCTTCAAGTTAACCCTCATATTCTCCTAGAAGACCCTGTGAATGATTCACTTATTTCACTCCAACACCGTATTCTAGGGCGGCCATATAAACTTCACTAGACACTACTTAGGGCAAAGACCAAGGCCACCTTTTCCTAACCATTCCCCAAGAATCTTACCTAGCAGCAGAACCCATCTGAAGAGGGGACTAGAAGAGGCATATACACATTAAAAAAAAACCACAGCTGGAATTTGTGTCATGTAGCAAATCTTTTAACATAAAATCTCCCACGAATGAAAAGCACGGCTGAAGTGCTTACTTCAGACTCTCCTGAGAACTCGAGGATGAGCGGTCAGACTGGGGCAGAGACACGATGCTGTCGGAGTTCTTCAGGTGGGACTGCAGGGCCTTCTGGTAGGAGGACTCGAGGGTGTGATACAAGTGCTCTGCTTCTCTGCTGAAGTGACTGTGAAAACCCCAGTAGCACCTAGAGGAGACACGCAGCTTGCCGTAGTCAGGATCGCACGGGGCTCCTGCCGAGCTCTGTGGCCCCCCCACGCAACACAGTCAAGGACTGCGATCCGTGGTGCTCCGCCACTAGGAGCAGCACTGGCTGAGGAAGACAGGGCGGACGAAGGAGGCCTGCGGTGGATCTGGGCCAGCTTACTGGCTCTTCTGACACTGGGCAAGCTCCCGGACTTCTCTGCATCACAGTCTCACTTATAAAATGGAAACTAAAGGGCCTAACTTGTGAGACTGGGGAGGCTTCGGGACGACGGAGCTAAAACGTCTAGAACTAGACTGAGAACACGGAGGGGGCTCATCCATGGCGGCTTTTATAAAAGCGACTGGACACCTGTCGACCTGAAGTCTTTCCAGTTGCCTCAGATAACAAGTACGAGAGGCACAAAGATGTGCTGAGCTACTTGAACTCTGCATTGCAGCACGACCAAAGAACGGGGGAGGGGGAAGACACATAAAAGGGTAAAAACAGCGTTAAGTACATGACTAACAACTCCAATCCTAAGAGTTGTGAGCAACTATTAACCACGTCACTTATTTTGGCAGGAACTACCCGAGCTGAGACTGTGATAACTACTTCAGTGTGTCGATGAGGTTCTCTGACCTCAGAAACTGGGGGGCGGAATTTAACGGAGAGAGTGGTCCGAGAACGACAGGGACTTTGTCAGGAGGTAGCAGGGCAGCGAAGTCAGACAGTAATATTCCAGGTGAGTGAGGAGAGGCTACCTGTGGTCCAGGAGAAGAGCTGGTCATTATGAAAGCACAGAGGCACCACCCCAGGTGCAACATTCACAGCACTCATCTACACATGGCCCGAGACGCCTAAGTCTCAGCATCTGACTCTTGGCTTTGACAGTCACAACGACAAAATCATCCCTGGGAAGGCACCGAATGCATGGTCACAGTCACATGACTGGAGCATGACCCACCTCATGGCAAAAGTGCCTCGCACGTGGGATGGCAACTGCAAGTCACCCCTGTGGTAATCCCCAGCATCACACCTCAACCCACCTGCCCCTCACCACGTTCACACCTTCCCAAGCAGCCACCTGAAGGTTTCAAAGATACCGTCACAGGGGAAGGACCTCTGGGACCATGATTTTTCACAGGAAACCAAAAGGTCCCTCTGGGTTATGACCTGGCTCCTAACAGAGCCTAATGAGTAAGAAAATACACTGAGTGTGCATACAAATGCTTTTCTGATTCACGTAGTCATTTGTCATAAATTTAAAAATGAGCATGCTGTTGTGTACCTCAGTTCTGTTTATATTCAAGTACTATCAATCAATCAGTCTTTCAGGCCTGGGCACCTGAACAACCTTCTAAACAAAAAGTTAGAGAAATATTGTGACATGGCCTTTTGAGGTCGTATTTCAAAGTCACAATTAACAAAACATGTTCATGTAACTTAATGAGTTTTGAATAAGGCAATCTAAACACCACCCTGAAATTTAAAAACAGTGAATTAAAAACAAGTGGTGTACAATAAACACTTACTTTCTGGCTTCTATCCTTGCTTCGGAATCCGCATCATGTATTCCCTTCTTTATTGTTTCGGCTAATACTGATATATGTCTAGACATCAAGAAGAGAAAGCAGTAACAATCATTAACATGTGGTTTTATGCGGGTGAAAACTGGTGTGAGAACTTCAAATCGACACATGGAACCTAGAGCCTCTGTGCCCAGTGAGTCAACCAACATGCAGCTGAGAAATCAGAGCTCCCTTCCCCGTTGCTCTCCTAACTTCTACCTCTGTCCCGGGGCACCCCCACCCTCCATCAGCTACCCCCACCTAAGTACCCCAAGTTTTTAAAATAACGGCTGATTCTTCTTACTTCATACTTATTTAGCTCAACCTTTGAGGAACCCAATGAACAAGGCTACAAGTTTCTACCTTTCCATGGCCAGCAGTAGTTTCTATGGAAATTACGAGGTAATAATCATCAGAATACTGGCTCACATTTCTGTAATTAAACACAATGTTTTTTTTCAAGTTCCACTATGCAACATGAACAAATTTATAAAATCATGTCACAATTTTATAAATAGGTGTTCTCTTTAGCTTATGTTCTGCCCTGAGAGGAAGTTATTAAAATGTCTCTTTGAATGTTTGACAGATTTTTAAGAAAAGAAAGAAGGCTGCAATGAGTTAGTCTCACAGAACAAAGAGTAGTTACCAATCTTATAGCCTGTTCAGAGTCTTTGCCTTATTCCTTCATTTAGTAACTGTTTAGCAAGTACCCACCAAGTGGCGAATGTTGAGCGAGGAGGCGAATGAATAAATACTGAGTTCTTCACACGGGACTGTTCTACTCACATGTCCTCACATTAAATCCCCCATTCCATTTTCCACCTCTAAATTCCAAAACTGTCACCAAAGAGAGGATACAATACCCAAGAGATGAAAGAATGCACGACTATCTTCTAGATTCGAGGTATTTGCAGATGAAATTTTACCCCAGGAGGCATGGCTTTGTTTCCTCTCTGCCCCTTGCAGTATGGAAAGGGACTCCCAGAAGTACTTCATTAAAATGCCCCTAATAAAATGATGAGTATGCTGTAAAGTTCCTCACAATATGTAACATTAAAAACTGGGTGGCACATCATCATCTATCTCTCCAAATTTAACTCACCAAGAATAACAGGCACCTCAAATTCAAAGGAACTGAAAATGGCAAAGAATGAATCTTGAAATTAAGAGACATCCTTCTTCAAGAATCCTGCCATAATTCTACCTTTTATCATGATGATGTGAAACATACCAACACCAACCTGAATAAAGAGAAAATTGCTGACTTTCCCATTCAGGGGGATCAAAAAGAACTGTGAGATGAGAGAAATTCCTCTACGGATCTAAGAGTTACACCAGGCCTGCCAAGAGCAGCTTGGAATATTTTCCTGGTTGAAGGGACAGGAATGTCAGACACCAGGGTGAGAGTCAATAAGGAGTTAACTGTGGCTGACTTCCAGGAAAATGGCAGAGTAGGAGGACCCTAAACTCACCTCCTCCCACAGATACAACTAGGTATCACCCACATCATTGTAAATACCCCAGAAAACTACCTGAAGATTAGCAGACCAGACTGCACAGCTAAGTGTAGAGAAGAGGCCACACCGAAGAAGGTGGCAGGGAGGGCACAGACTTTCTGTAAGAGGGAGAGACACTGGGGACACACAGAGGGGAGAGGACCAAACCCTCAAACCAAGCATCCCAGGCACGGGAACCTGTGCGAAAACCAGAGGGGCATACTTTTGTGAATTCTTATGATCAGTGGGGCTTAACACCGAAACTTTAAAAATCAGTAGGAGGGAAATAGGAAACTGAGTCCCCACCCTTAAAGAGCACAACAAACAGCCCCTCGGAGATACAGCAATAGAAGCAGCAGTTTGAAAAACACGTGGGGTATACACAAGGGAGATTGCTTTACTGACGTGAGAGCATGAACCAGAGGGGAAGGGATCCCGGGGAGACTTCACCAGGAACAAAGGAGCTGGGGGGCACCGTTTCCCTGCCCCACCCCAGGGGTTACATAAACACAAACCAGCCAGGCCTTGGTTCCAGGTTTCCCCCTCCACAGTGGACCCACGCAACACTTGCTAACACTGTCTGCGCTGTGGCAACATTCTCCTGGGGTCCCCCCCCCCAATATATCCTTGGCCACAACCCATCCAAAGCAGTGCCACAAGCTTGGCAGGGTACAAGCAGCCCCGACAGGGATGGGTTGGCACCTCGGCAAAGTGACTCCTGCTCTGAGGAGGGGGAAGATAACCGCACACACCAGTCAGACTGTGGCCCCAGCAGTGGGCTGGAGTCAGACAGATGCTCTAACTGTAGGCACCACCCACCAATAAAAGCTTCTCAGAAGACAACAGAAGGAAAGTGCCCAGCAGTATGCTACTACTGCATCTCGGACAAATGCCCAGTGTGAACGTGACTCAAGCCCAAGCCAACCCCAGACTGGCCCACGAACAACACAGGGATCCAATGCTGCCCACAATAGGCAGAGCCACGGCAGAGGACTGGACTGAAAGAAAAAGCGCCTCAGCCACAACATCAGGATACATGCAACACACATGGAGACATCCCTGCAGTTCCAGTTTGGGTGAACAGGGGACACTGCCCTGCAGGGCACTACAGGACCTCTTCTTCATAAGGCAGGAGACAGAGCTGACTTTCCTAACACATAGAAATAGACACAGAGTTAGACAAAGTGAGAAAAAGAGCTACATTTCCCCAGTGTAAGAACAGGACAAAACCAGAGCAAGAGACCAAAGGAAAATGGAGATAAGTAATATGCCTGATAGAGAATTTAAAGTAATGATCAAAGCTACTCACTGGACTTGAAAAAAGAGTGGAGGACCCCAGTGAAAACCTTAACAAAGAGATAGAAAACATAAAAAAGAACCAATCAGAGATGAAGAACTTAATAACTGAAATTAAAAATACAATAGATGGAATAAACAGACTAGAGAAAGCAGAAGAACGGATCAGCAACTGGAGGACAGAATAATGGGAAGCAATCAAGCTGAATGGGAGAGAGGGAAAAAAATAATAAAAAATGAAAACAGACTTAGGGAACTCAGTGACACCATCAAGCATAGTAACACTTGCATTATATGGAATCCCAGGGGAGAAGAGAAAGAAAGGGGGGCAGAAAATTTATTTGAAGAACTAATAGCTGAAAACTTCCCAAATCTGGGGAAGAAAACAGAAATCCAGATCCTGGAGGCCCTGAGAGCTCCCAACAAAAACAACACAAAGAGATCCACACCAAGACACAGTAATTAAAATAGCAAAACGTAGTGATAAAGGGAATTTTAAAAGCAGCAAGAGAAAAAAACAGTTATATACAAGGGAATCTCCTTAAGGCTATAAGCTGATTTTTCAGAAGAAACTTTATGAACCAGAAGGGAGTGGCATGATGTATTCAAAGTGCTAGGGAAAAGAAAACAAAAACAAAAAACAAAACAAAACAAAAAACCCTTCAGCCAAGAATACTCGGTCTCTCCTCTTCCAAATGACAGCCTTGCTGGATAAAGTCTTCCAGACAAATGAAAGTTAAAGAAATTCATAACCCCTAAATCAGCCCTACAAGAAATGTTAAAGTGGGCTCATCAAGTGGAAAGGAAAGACCATAAGCAGGAGTAAGAAAAGTAGGAAGCATAAAAGCAGTAAAATTAAGTATAGCTATAAAAATCAGTCAAGCGAGTCACAAAATAAAAGAGTAAGTATGACACCATATACCTAAAACATGGAAAGAGAGGAGTAAAGAATGGGTTCAAACTGAAGCAACTATCAACTTTAGACTGCTATATGCATAAAATGTATAAATTAAAAACTAGTAAAACCATAAATTAAACACCAGTAATACATATACAAAAAAAAAAAAAAAGAGGCAGAGAGAGAAAGGAAGCCGAGTATACCGCTAAAGAAAGCAAACCATGAGAGAAGAGAGCAGGAACAGAAAGGAACAGAGAAGAACTACATAAACAGTTGTAAAGAAGTAACAAAATGGCAATAAGTACCTATCAATAACTACTTTGAATGTAAATGGACTAAAACCTCCAATCCAAAGACACAGGGTAACAGAACAGATAAAACGCAAGACTCATTTATATGCTGCCTACGAGAGACTCATTTCAGATCTAAAGACACACACATACTGATAGTGAAGGGACAGAATAGCATCTACTACGAAAACGGAAGTGAAAAGAAAGCCGGAACAGCAACACTTATAACAGACAAAACAGACTTTAAAACAGTATACAATCTGGGGTGACTGGGTGGCTCAGTCAGTTAAACATGTGACTCTTGGTTTCAGCTCAGGTCATGACCTCAGGGTTGTGGGATTAAGCCCCAGGTCAGACACTGTACTGAGCTTGGAGCCTGCTTGAGATTCTCCCTCTCTCTCTGCACTCCCCCACTCGCACCCTCTCTTTCTAAATAAATAATCTTGGGGTGCCTGGGTGGCTGAGTCATTAAGCATCTGCCTTCAGCTCAGGTCATGATCCCAGGGTCCTGGGATCGAGGCCCACATCAGGCTCCCTGCTTGGCGGGGAGCCTGCTTCTCCCTCTCCCACTCCCTCTGCTTGTGTTCCCTCTCTCACTGTGTGTCTCTCTGTCAAATAAATGAATAAAATCTTAAAAAAATAAATAAAAAATAATCTTTCCAAAAAAAAAAAAAAGGCAGTATACAATCATAAAGGGACCAATCCAACAAGAAGATGTAACAATTGTAAATGTTTATGCACCCAACATGGGAGCATTCCAATACATAAAAGAGCTAATAAGAAACAAAATAAGGGAAGTAATTGATAGTAATACAATAATAAGGGACTTTAACAACCCATTTACATCACTGGATAGATCATCCAAAGACAAAACCAACAAGGAAACAGTGGCTTTTAATGACACATTGGACCAGATGGATCTAACAGATATATTCAGAACATTCCATTCTAAAACAGCAGAATACACTTTTCAAGTACACACAGAACATTCTCCAGAATATACCACATATTAGGCCACAAAACGAGTCTCAATGAATTGAAAACGATCAAACTCATACTATGACTATGCATCTTTTCCAACCATAACATTATTAAACCAGAAATCAACCACAAGAAAAACCGGGAAACACCACAAATAAATGGAAGCTATATAACATGCTCCTAAACAATGAGTGGGTCAACCACAAAATCAAAGAGGAAATAAAAAAAAAATACATGGAGACAAATGAAAATGAAAACACAACAGTCCAGAATCTTTGGGATGCAGTAAAAGCTGTTCTAAGAGAGAAGTTTGTAGAATATAGGTCTACCTCAAGAAGCAAGAAAAATCGAAAATAAACAACCTAACAAAACCCAAAACTAGTTCTAGTTGAAGGCAGGAAATAATAAAAATTAGAAAAGAAATAAAATAGAAATGAAAAAACAGATCAATGAAACTAGGAGCTAGTTCTTTGAAAAGATCAACAAAACTCATCAATATTTAGCTTATCAATGTAAAACGAAAGAAGACTCAAACAAAATCAGAAACAAAAGAAGAAAAATAATAACACCACAGAAATACAAAGGATTATAAGATTATGAAAAATTATATGCCAACAAACTGGACAACCTAGAAGTAGATAAATTCCTAGAAACCTGTAACTCCCTAAAATTGAAGCTGGAAGAATTAGAAAATCTGAACAGACTGATTACCAGCAAAAAAATTGAACTGGTAATCCAAAAACTCCCAACAAACAAAAGTCCAGGACCAGATGGCTTCACAGGTGAATTCTACCGACTCGTCAAAAAAGAGTTAATAACTATTCTTCTCAAACAATTCCAAAATACAGAAGAGGAAAGAAAGTTTCCAAAACTCATTCAATGAGACCAGCATTACCCCTATACCAAAATCAGATAAAGACTACAAAAAAAGAGGGGTGCCAGGGTGGTACAGTCAGTTAAGCATCTGACTCTTGATTTTAGCTCAGGTCACGATCTCATAGTGGTGAGATCGAGCCCGGCGTCTGGCTCCAAGCTCAGCATGGAGTCTGCATGGGATTCTCTCTCTCCCTCTGCCCCTCCCCCCAGTTCATGCACTCTCTCTCTCAAAATAAATATTTTTCTAAAAAAAAAAAAAAAAAAAAGACTACAAAAAAAAAGAACTAGAGGCCAGTACCCTGATGACACATATGCAAAAATCCTCAACAAAATACTAGCAAATCAAATCAACAATACGTTAAAAACATCATTCATGGGCGCCTGGGTGGCTCAGTTGGTTAGGCGACTGCCTTCAGCTCAGGTCATGATCCTGGAGTCCCGGGATCGAGTCCCACATCGGGCTCCCTGCTCAGCGGGGAGTCTGCTTCTCCCTCTGACCCTCTTCCCTCTCGTGCTCTGTAGCTCTCATTCTCTCTCTCTCAAATAAATAAATAAAATCTTAAAAAAAAATAAAAAAAATAAAAACATCATTCACCACCATCAAGCAGGATTCCTAGGATGCAAGGGTGGTTCAATATTCACAAATCAATTAATGTGATACATCAAATTAACAAGAGAAAGAATAAAAACCATGCAGTCATTTCAGTAGATGCAGAAAAAAGCAGTTGACAAAGTACAACATCCAGTCATGATAAAGAAACCCTCAACAAGGTAGGTTTAGGGGGAACATACCTCAACATAGTAAAGGCCATATATGAAAAATCCACTGCTAGCATCATCCTCAATGGTGAAAAACTGAGAGCTTTTTCCCGAAGATCAGGAACAAGACAAAGATGTCTACTCTCACCACTTTTATGCAACACAGTACTGGAAGTCCTAGCCACAGCAATCAGACAGGAAAAAGGAATAGAAGGCATCCAAAAGTGTAAGGAAGAAGTAAAACTTCCACTACTTCCAGATGACATGATACTTAAACACAGAAAACTCTGAAGACTCCACCAAAACCTACTAGAATAAATGAAGTCGGTAAGGTCGCAGGATATAAGATTAATATATAGAAATCTATTACATTCCTACAGATTAATAATGAAGCAGCAGAAAGACAAATTAAGAAAATCCCATTTACAACTGCACCAAAAAGAATAAAATATTTAGGAATAAACTTAACTAAGGAGGTAAAAGAGACCTACTCTGAAAACTTATTTAACACTGATGAAAGAAACTGAAAATGACGCTCTCTCTCCCCTCTCCCCCCACCTCCCCTCTCTGTTTCTCTCTCTCTCCCTAAAATAAAAAAAAAAATGGAATAAGGACCTAAATAGGAGACCTGAAACCATAAAAATTCTAGGAGAGGACACAGGCAGTAATTGCTGACATTGGCTATAACAACATATTTCTAGATGTCTCCTGAGGCAGGGGAAACAAAAGCAAAAATCAACTATTGGTACTATATCAAAATAAAAAGCTTCCGCACACAAAGGAAACTGTCAACAAAACTAAAAGACAATCTATTAAATGGGAGATGATATTTGCAAATGACATATTCAATAAAAGCTTAGTATTCAAAATATATAATGAACTATCTCAACACCCCCCCCAGAAAAAGAATTAAAAAATGGACAGAAGATGTGAACAGACATTTCTCCAGTGAAGACATCCAGATGGCCAACAGACACATAAAAGGAAGCTCAAAATCACTCATCAACAAGGAAATGACAATCAAAACCACAATGAGATGCCATTTCACACCTGTCAGAATGGCTAAAATCAAAAACACAAGAAACAACAGGCCCTGGCAAGGATGGGGAGAAATAGGAACGCTCATGCACTGCTGGTGGGAATGCAAACTGGTGCAGCCACTGTGGAAAACAGTAGGAAGGTTCCTCAAAAAGTTAAAAGTAGAAATACCATATGATCCAATAATTCCACTACTGGGTATTTACCCAAAAGTTATAAAAACACTAATTCAAAAAGATATATGCACCCCTATATTTATTGCTGCATTATTTAGAATAGCTAAATTATGGAAGCAATTCAGGTGTCCATCAACTGATGAATGGATAAAAAAAGATGTGGTATGTGTGTATCACACACACACACACACACACACACACACACACACACAATGGAATATTACTCAGCCACAAAAAAGGAATGAAGTCTTGCCATTTCCAACAACATGGATGGATCTAGAGACTATAATGCTAAGTGAAATGTCAGTCAGAGAAAGATAAATACCACATGATTCACTCATATGTGGAATTTACGAAATGAAACAAAGAAAAAGGCAAACTAAAAAACAGACTCTTAACTACAGAACAAACTGGTGGTTACTAGAGGGAATGTGGGGGGGATGAAATAGGTGAAGGGGATTAAGAATTCACTTATGACGAGCACTGACTAATGTAGAGAATTACTGAATCACTATGTTGTACACATGAAATATTACATGGTATGTTACCTATACTGGAATTAAAAAATAATTTAAGGAAAAGGTTAATCGTAGCTTTGTGGCTGGAAGGGTGCACATCTGTCCACATCTCTAGGCACACTAAAACTGCAACCAATGTAATTCACTAAAAATTCCTGCCAATATTATGATCTTCACATCAGTAGAAATAACAGATGTAGTTGTGCAAACAAATACTTAGATTCCTTCGATTCTCATAAAAAGCAGGTTGGACCACTTGTCGGGGCACTAAATCTCAAGATTCATTTCAGAAGGAAAAAAACCTTGCAAATCAAATGCTTACCGTTCCAGTGAATGTGTCTGCCACTCTTGTAAAAGTAAATCTAAAAATTCAAAACAGCGCCTAAAAATTATAAAGAAAACATGTAACTCAGTCATTTTTATGTTAGTGAAAATAAAAGCCTTTTTTTCTTCCCACACTACTCTTTAGAACTGGTAAATTTCTTCTAATTATTAGGATTCAAAACATGGAATATAAAGTTGGAATTGGCACTGACTGAAAACCCAAGCAAGTAAAAGTAATTAAGCATCTATGGTGATCAGAAACAAAAATCACTCAGACATATAAGAGACAGGATACAAAAGCTCCCCTCAAATCAGAAACTGGAGCTTCATGGCAACATTATGGAAAGGGCCTATCACTGTCATTGTTTTTATACTATCTCAAATAATATGTTAATATGGGATGTACAACATGAGCAAAAAAGATCAGCGTACTTTATTACAGAATCAGGGAACTGGTCTTTGCACTAATTTCACAGAATGCCTTGTGCAATAAATGTAAAAGAAAAAAAGTCCTGGACGCCTGGATGGCTCAGTTGGTTAAGCGACTGCCTTCGGCTCAGGTCATGATCCTGGAGTTCCAGGATCAAGTCCCGCATCAGGCTCCCTGCTCAGCAGGGAGTCTGCTTCTCCCTCTAACCCTCCCTCCTCTCATGTGCTCTCTCTCTCTCTCTCATTCTCTCTCTCAAATAAATAAATAAAATCTTAAAAAAAAAAGAAGAAGAAAAAAAGTCCTCAAAAACAAAGTGCTTTCCTTTCCAAATTTTCCCAAAAAGTCCTAGGTAGTGCTTAAAATAGATTTTTCTCTAACTACTCCTCTATTCTCCTCTTTAATCTTTCAACATCCTTTCTTGTCAAGCCTTTCCACTTTTGTAATCTTTCTTGATCTGATTTGTGCACAAAAACAATTCTGGTCTCATCTCCTTTGGATTACATCACCACTTTGGGTTCTACCTCTTTATAACTTTTCAGACGTCCAGGGTGTTTATCTTTGCAGGAGTGTATCTTAATGGTCTTAAGAACTCACTCAAGCAAACAAATCAGAGGGTAATTTTTTTCTAATGACCAGACTTTCATTCCCATGGTCCTCCCAATTCAAAACCTCATAATCCATATAATTAATCACTCATTAAATCTTTAATAAACCCTAACCCTACCATAGAGGCTACAGATAACAGTGGTAACCAAGACATAAACCAGCAAGCAAGCCAGACAAGGAACGGTTCCCACGTGCCAGGAACACAAGGGGGCTCTTCTTGGAAGCACACAGAAGAGCTATTCAACCCAGTCCCAGGGCTGGCAGCAGAGCGCGCGTGCGTGCACGCGTGCGTGGAACGTTGGCTGTGAGGCAGACTTTGACCCACACCCACACCATCTCCTCTCTGTCACTCTCCCCACCCCAGCCTCAACCAGGGCCATGTTTATTCTACCTTCTTCCCTCTTCCTCATGTCATTTCCTGGGCTGATTTTTGTCTCTTTTTCTTTTTTAAAAAATGTGTGTGCATTTGTTTATATTTATCTATCTCTTAGTGAATAAAAAGTCATCTTTGATGCTAATTCTGGTCTTAAATGTGTGTTAGAACAATCTGTTTAATCAAAAATATGACCTATAAGCTAGGTTTTATTTTCCACTCTTTAGGCTAACATACAAAGAAGCAGTATCAATACTGGAATTCTTTAACTCATTATTTAAACACATCAGGTTAGGACTTGTCTCTTTTCTTTACCTACTCCTACTCATCATTCAAAATGCAGCTCAGTTTTCAACTTGTCTATGAAGCATCACAGAAATCTATTAGCTGGTCTTAATCACTGCTCTCTGAATTCATTCTAAATTCCCCAGTACAGGTGTTATAACTCACTCTTACATTGCTTTGCATTATTGTTTTTAATCTCCCCATCTAAATGATAAACTTCTCAAAGGCAGGGAGACTGTGCAGGCCATTTCTTACAAATTCTACAAAGTAGAGCTAGGTACAGGCTAAGTACGACAGAGAAAACACACTGCTTGTGTTACACTGCCCTCTTTGGTTCTCTTTACCTTTCTGAAGGCAGAGGGACTGGATGTCCCTTTTAGTTCTTTCAGCATTAAGACACACTGTTCTGACTGACATGGACCCTGACTAATGTAAGAACAGCAATCCGAGCGTGTGACTCAGGAAGCTGTGAAGGGGGTGACATTTCTGTAGTCACAGTAAATGCAGGTTACCAGTCGTTTAGCACCAGAACAGAACTGTTAAATTCTGTGGACTGAACGGTGTTGCCCCAAAATTCGTATGTTGAAGCCCGACCGCCCAACATGATGGTATCTGGAGACGGGGCCTTCAGGAGGTAATTAGGTTCACATGAGGTCATGAAAATGGGGCTCCACTGATGGGGCTGGTGCCCCTCTAAGAAGAAACCCCAGAGAATATGCTCTGTGTCTCTCTCTCTGTCATGTGAAGACACAGCGAGAAGGCAGCCACCTGTAAGCGACCCTCATTAGAACTCAACCGTGCTGGCACCCTCATCCCAGACTTCCAGCCCCAGAACTGTGAGAAAACCAATTTCTGTTGTTTAAGCCACCCAGTGTACGGTATTTTGTTATGGCGGCCCGAGCTAATATGCTAAACGTCCTGTAACATTCTACAACAAAGATCTGTATCACTATATCCGAGGAACTTGGCCTAACACACTCTGAATGTCTTGGAAAACCTAAAACAATACTGACAATAATAGCAGGAGCAGCAACAAAATCTAATAATGGGTATCATTTATTTAGGTTGCACGAAGCGTCAAATCCCTCTACCCAATGACTGAGCCCACGGAGCAGCTCTGCCCCAGGGTACTCTTGTTCCAAGCAGGTCAGAAGATTAGTTAGTGGGGTAATCTTTAGTCAGGGGTAATGCTTCAGCTGCAGTCGGCCAGGTTCTGAAGTTCACTACCGTCCCTCTCCCCTGCTGACTTCACACTCTCATCTCTAGAAGCAGCAGCGAAACTGGAGGTAAAGGGCAGACCGCATTCCTCAGCGACACACAAGGGAGCCACGCCATTAGAACTTAAGTTTTTTCAGTGGAAGGTGCCAATTCCTTCCTTCCTGGCTTTATAAAGGTGGATGATTCCCCTTTCCTCCTTCATGACTTCCACAGAGCTGTTAATAAGATGGATAGGGGGCTGCCTCATGCACGGCAGGCATACCTACCCAGGCAAATGGGGCGGGACCTATGGGACATGCCAGAAAGGAGGAAAATGGCGGGCAGCGAATGTAAGCTGGGCTCCAAGCTTGGAGTGAAAGGCTCTTTCACTGGGCCAGGATCAGAAAATGAACTCAGGAGGCTGCTATCCAAGCCGGCCGTTAATTTACCCTATGAAGCTCCTGATACAATCCACTGAGAGGCTTCAACAGTGTCCATAAATCCCCTGAAAATCTACACTAAACTATTCTGCGTATTTACATTTTCTTGGGAAGAGGGGCCACAGATTTTATTAGACCCTCAAGAGTCAAGAACCATGGATTCCAGCTAGAAGAAGCCTTATTCCTCGCCTGTGATCTAGGGCAGCTCACATGGACACAAGACCAGGCAGGGACCTGGGAACAAAGACCTAGCTAGCTAACCAGGTGGTATCTCCCGGATAGATCTCCCACAACTGTGCAGCAGAAGCAGGTGCTGGTCAGGATTCAGAAGCCCAGAAATCACTGTCGGAAGATGGAAACAACATATACCTCCTCCTACCACCGGTAATATTAAATAGATGCCATTAATTTTTATAATGGTCTTTTTCTTGCATGCAGTTACTGCTGCATTCAGAGAAGGGTACACCGATGATTTAGGTACAGGGACTGAGAAAAAAGTGTACGCCCCCCCTTCCATTAACTCACATACATACAGACACATTCTCTGTCTACCCTCCCTTCTCTCTTGCTCTCTCTCTCTCTCTCTCACACACACACACACACACACACACACACACAAATAGAGGTTGTCCAAATTTATTTTTCAGACTATTTAGATCATGATCCTTCAATCCAAAGGCATTTATTGCAACAATCTTAAATAATTTTAACATTTCAAACGTGAATACTTTCATGGAGGCAAATTTGGAATTTATTTTGGTTTTTAAACCATTCAAAAATAATGAAGAAGCTGTTTAAAAATTTACCTTCTAACTGCGACAGACTTAGAGGTACAGTTGCTTGTTATGACAGGTATTAGCCTAGGGATGTGTGTGTGCTGCAGAGAAGAACAAAAACAGAGGTGAACACCTGAAAATACGAAAATAAAATAAAACTAAGACAGCCACACTTCCTGATTAAACCACCTAAAGCACATATAGATTTAGATTAGAATTTCACTGAGCTTAAAAAGGAAAAAGAATTTCACTGGATACTGCCAAAGGCCATGACAACATTTACAAAGCCTCAACAGACCACACAATGATATATAAATAAACCTCACGGCAAAACAAACCATTGGCAGGAAGTCTAAACTATCTAGCAGTAGCAATCTAAGGGAGTTCAAAAGGAATCTGCAGACCTATGTGTTTTGATACAGTTTCAATGGGAATGTCCAACAATGGCTTTGGATTTAATATTTCAAGTAGGCAGTGCAAATAGTAGGGACTAAAAATAATACAAGTAAGTGACCCACGATAACCAGCAATATTCTGGAAAGATTTTAGCATCACCAAGTCCCAGTTTCAAGGGCTGCCTCTGGGGAAAAGAGACTTGAAGGTAGGGAGAAGGTGACGTGCAGCATATTCATTTTAAGCTTCTGTGAACTATTAAGTTTTACTGAAAACTGGTACATAAATTACTTGGATAATTATTTAAACTTAAATGAGTGTTTAGAACACTGAAAAGAATCTTTTATTCATTGGCTTAAACACAATTAATTAAATAAAAACTTTAGGTGAATAACAAAGCCACAAGCACAAATACCTAAAATGGAATGAAAGGGAATTAAGGAGTAATATCTGGAGACATAAAGACTGGGTGTAAACCCAGAAGCAGATGCTCAAATATTTAAAGCCAATGATGAGTAAATGATCAACACATCAGCAGGCAAACACCATATCCATAATTCACATTAGGGAATGTAAAAAGCTCATATAGGATATAATTAAGGAAGGGAGAGGCTGATTTATACCTACAATATGATTCCAACTATTTATAATCATGCTAATGAAAAATGCCTCTCGGGGCGCCTGAGTGGCTCAGTTGGTTAAGCGTCTGCCTTAGGCTCGGGTCATGATCCCAGGGTTCTGGGATTGAGCCCCGCATCGGGCTCCCTGCTTAGTGGGGAGCCTGCTTTCCCCTCTCCTCCCCGCTCTTGCTCTATCTCTGTCGCTGCCTGTCTCTCTAATAAATAAAATCTTAAAAAAAAAAAAAGAAAAATGCCTCTAATATTGCTTATCAACCACCAATGTTTACCACTTGCTTATTCTATGTATGGCCCCAAAATACACTTACCCGAATGATTAACCTAACAGCTACAACACCGGATGTGGCCATAATTTTGGCACTATTTGGAATTAAATTAAAGATAGTTGGCATAATGGCTTCAGCTCCATGGTCAAACTTATTCCCCAGAACTGATGACAGATGCCTACAATAAGAAATGAAAACTGTACTGTAATTTTATTTCTTGCAAACAGCGAAGCATATAAACCTCTTAACATCGCAGGGCTTTCATTTAAAGTTATCGAGATAAAAAGGGTCTAAGTAAGATACTTTCAAAATATTTCCAACATGCACGCAGTGGACTTGGCAAATAGCCAATGGCCCATGAGTTTGCTCCTTTTATTTTTTTTAAATAAATCATTTCCAACTAATTAGTCTTAAAATAGCAAAAGACAAACTGATCATACCCTAATAAAATATAAATATGAAAAAGCTCCCTCACCCTTTTTTTCCTTTTGCCCCATTAAAAACCTTTAACACACAATATACATGCTTCCATATCTGATACTTTCAACAGCTGCAGCATCTCCTTCCTGTAGCTGCTTTGATATTCGGACACACTTTCTTACCAGAAGTTCCAGCTTCAAACACAGATAACAGGTTTAGCGAGGGTAAAATTTCACTGTAGTATATGCCTTTGACTTTAACTTTATAGCTACAGTGCACTTCTGGAAACAAACAAAAATTCTGATAATCATGCTATATCCTGCCAGCAGAATCAATGAAAAAGCTGAGAAACAGAAGTTTGTAAAATTTCTTCTTTCTGTGTTATTAATAATAACTGCTTCAAGTTTAAAATAGAGGGTTCAGAGCTAAGTCACTGAATAAAACTGAAAATCTGTCACTCTTTCCATCACTGGGCAGGAAGCACTGTTAATAGTATAAAAGTACCAAGAGAAGCGTAAATGGAACAGGTCCCAGAGACTAGTCAGAAGGTACATTAAAGAGACCTGCTGGGCATATTCAATGGACCATCTCAGAAGCGCTGTAACGAGGCTATTTTAGGATGTGTGAGAATCTGAAGCATGGTAGTCCTTACCCCAATGTGATACAAGCCTCCCGCACTACCTGAGACCGCAGGTCCTTAGCAGATAGTTTAAAGGCTCCATCCAAAAGACGCAAATGTTGAAAGAAGTTATCATACTCAGCAGCACCAGCCAAAAGTAAAGATCTTATCTTTTTTAGCTGATGGGATAGAGAAAATTCAGAGATACACAAAACAATTCTTAAAACAGTATATACAAAACAACAGAAGCCATCAAATATGAGAGATCAGCATCAAAATTAACTGATTATCAGAAGTTCTCCCAAAAGAATTCAGCCCATTCAGTATCAGCTACCGTACTGCATAAATCTACATATCACAAATAAGAACAAATTATTTTTATATGCAGTATCTTACAATTCTACAAAACGTATCTCTTCATTGGAAAACATTTTAGTGTATTTATAGATTCTGTGTTAACGATAAAATACCAAAGCCTTCATTTTAATTCCTCCCCTAAAGCTTACCTTCCCCAACAACTGACTCCAACTGCCATTCGTTTAATGAATCAAAGGAAGAAGCAATCCTATAGTCTTTTATATACTATCCTCCACTGTATCATTATTAAAAGACTAGTCTGAGTTTGAATGGAATATAGCAGTAATTTAATCGCCTCACTTCCTGCCAGCCGACCACTGGAAAATAGCTTTCCACAGGTAAGACACACCCTCATTTAATGTTCACCCCACTTTTCATTCATCCACTTTTTTAAATAGAAGGGACAGAATTTTCCAGCAAGTGATACGAAGAAAGAAAGGAAGAGAGGGACACATACTGAAAATGCCACTAAGAAAAGTCGACTTACTGGCCAACAATCACAATTAAATGTTGACTAAGGCAAGAGTGGAGGCCGTCTCCAGATGCTCCACATTAGGTCTTTGTTAAAAGTACAGGACATACATAAAGGCATAGGCTGGCATGTTTTAGAAACAGAAATAGAAATAGAAGTGAGGTACTCTACTAAAAGGGTTAAATGTAAATATGGTAACTTATATTTAAAATACTTAATACTTAAAATTCATGAGAGCTGTACCCCAATTGCATAATTAAGTATTTAGAACATTTAAATAAATCCAATGAAAATGTAATCACATGAAGTCAAAGCTTACAGCATTTACTCTTTGCTCCCAATCATGCTTGTCGTCAGATAATATTTCCCTAATCTTGTTTATGGATTCCTCAAGGTCTCGGCTGGAATAAATCTGTAAGCAAAATTAATTTACAACCAATATAAGAAAATTTACAGAATAAACAAAGATTAGTTTTTAATTACACAAAGTCAAGAGCTTTTAGGAAGTATAGTTAAAAAAAAATTCATTTTTCAGAAGGACCTATGAGGTAACACCTAGACAGATTTGTCTTAGAATGAGCTTCTTTCCCAATGTGAATACATACCCACTAGATTCGATGCCAAGTATGGATAACCATGCTTCAAACACAGCTTTACTATAAACTTAACGGATGATTTCATGTACAGAAGAGAAAGAAGCCAGCTGGGGAATGATCAGTGATGCTCAGGTCATTTATTATTCGTAGTATTATTTATAACACCACACTCTCTTCAAATCTACTTTCTCATTTATGCTCAAATCTTACTAGTAAGATAGGTAGGGGAATAATCAGCCAAGAATGATGCAAGCTGGGAAGGTCAAGGACTTAAGGATGAGCCTGAGCCTACAATGCCAGCTACCTGATTTATACACATATGGCAACCCAGCAGCAGGTAACAAGTGATCACATGGACATTAGCGCTATAGGAATCTGGAGCACTGAATTCGATGTAGGCTGAGGAAAACTGTTATTAGCCCCCAGTCAACTATGGACAACACTGAGGCACAAAGCAGTTAAAATGTGTGTACCCCAACCTCACAAGCAATCTCTGCTTTGTCTATTAGGTATACTTAAGTGAAGCATCAAGACGGCATAAACTTGAGCTTTTATTAATCCATTCTTTATAGCTTTTCAGACACCCAGTTCCTTGAAATTTACAACTTGCCCGAAAAAAAAGAAAGTCCCTAAATAAGCATGCTTCTTTGTTCTCACACCTAATCTAATCATTGCATTTTCTCATTCACCTGACCTAACCCACAAATTTATTATTAGAGCAAACAAGCAACTTCTCTCCAATTCTTACTGAAAGACTACCTTGGGTCTTGACTTTTGCTCTTCATTTCAGCTATAAAAGGCACCAATGTTTTCTACTCTGCAACCGCAGGTCTCCTGTAGTCCTGAGAGTTAAAATTACCTCACCTAGGAAGGGACTTCACATAGCACCTATTTGAAAACTGAAATTTGAAGAGTCAGTCTTACCTGTTTTTAATCAAACTCAAATATCCTCACTCACCTGCACTACAGGTACATCATCAAATGCTTTAATAAAGTCCTCTTCATCAACAGCACCAGCTCCTTCTTTTGCAGCTTTAAATAAGATTAATTTTTAAAAGGTGAACAATGCGCAGAGTCTGAATATACACAATCACCATTACATTTTGGAAGATGTGTAACTATTTTTCTAAAGGCTTAATAAAAATTCAGAGTGTTGTGGAACTGACAAACATTACTAACTTTTAATATCAAGATGAAATGTAGTAATTCTACAATACTATATACATTAGTGTAAAGTCACTTAAAGACACTACTGGCTAAGGAGGACATTTAGCCTTTAAGGATATAGACAGCTTATACTGTAGTCATGTCTGAATCTTTTGACAGGTTCCTAATAAACAGATATATAACAAAAAATTTAATTTTTCAGGGAATAAATTAGGTTGTGTTACTGTTAGGCATCTAGCATAATAAATTTGTGAAATATTCAAATAAGTTCTAAAGAATTTAACAGTTTCACTTCAACTTTGTATTAGGTCTCAAAACATTTCCATTTCCTTGAATGCATGATAACTCAATTTTTCACCTACACATCAGGTGCAACTTTCCCTCATAAAGGTGTTATAAGATGCTCTGTATACTTGAAAGTTGATTGCTATCATTTGGGAGAGAGTTTTTTCTTTTGCTAATATGAACTCTACTTCACACAAGAAAATCGTGTGACATTTTATCAGACCTCTTTTCCCCCCCAGAATAAAGGTTTCAAAATTGGAGTCTGTGGTCATCTTGCAACACTCATTAATGATTTACACTGATTAGTTTGAGTGCTTCTCCTGAGTTTTCCCGCAGACAAGTTATTTGATGTTTGGGGTCCCCATGGACAACACAGGGCTTTAAAGACGACTCTGGGAGCAATAAATGTGTGTCCTCACTTTTGATGAAGATTCCTCACACTGAGTTCACAAGCTAACTGTGGACAGCGGACAGTAACGTCACACTGTGATGTCGTGCTCAGTGCCTGTTTTGGTGAAAAGACTGGATCCTCCCAAGCAGACGGGTCCTGAGCGCCGCCCCGGGTAAGTGTCACACCACGTACCCACGTACTGAAAGGGACTCAGAGACCAACCATGGTCTGTGGGCCCCAGAATTAGATGAGGAGTCAGTAAGCAAATTCATGACTATGTTGTTAAACAAAACGGGAAAAAAAGGATGAAAGCAGGGCTGAGCTCTCTACATATTGAGTTGGGACTTCTGGAAGGGATTTATGGGTGAGGGGCAGGAAAAAAAAAAAGTGGTCTGATGATACACAGAAATTTTCTAAGCCTTGTTTGTGGAACTGATACGTCCCAAGTATAGATTTTTTTTAAATAAAAGATTAGAAAGGTTTTTCAGTCATAAAAAGGAATGAAGTACTAATACATGCTACAACACAAACGAACTGCAAAAACACTACGCTAAGTGAAAGAAGCCAGACACAAAAGATCACATATTATATGACTCCATTTCTATGAAATACCTAGAATGGGCAAATGCATAGAGGCAAAATGCAGACTGCTGATTGCCAGGGGCTGGAGGATGGAAGAGACGGGGAGCAACTGTTTAAAGGGTCCGGGGCTTCCTTTTGGGAGTGGAGAAGCTCTTCTGGAATTAGAGGTGATAGTTGCACAACACTGGGAATATACTAAATGCAACTGGATTGTGACCTTTAAAATGGTTAACTTGATGTTTTGCGGATTTAAACTCAATTAAAAAAAATTTTTTTAATGCATCAAAAAAATTTATAGAGAGGACCAAGAATACCAATAAACACACAGCTTTTCCTTCTGCCATCCATGGTGTGAATATCCCTGTCAGCCATGAGCACAGCTCTTCTAACATGGACAGAGAAGCTGGTAGCAGAGGCGCTGCGGGGACACTGAGCTGACCAAGGAAGACCCCAACAGTCTAGGACCAGTGCAGAAAGCCAGAAAGACCACCAGACGGAGACAGCATTCTACAGTCAATCCTTACCCCAGTTTTAATGAGCTCATCCAGCCAAGTTCAAAAGCCCAATGCTAACAATCAGAACAGTTCTAAAAACAGTGGCTACACAATTTGAAGTAAAAAGAAATTCGTATGTCAATTTAAAATGTGACAGCAAAATGCAAGCTGTATATAACAAGGACTCAAATTGTCTAAATCGGGGGTTGGCAGAGAAGGAATTTAGAGGACGACATCTTTGTAAGTCAGTGCTCATCTCTACCATTTACTTAGGCCAATGTCCATACACTGGTCTCACAAAGAATAACGCTACTTAAAGGAACAAAATACATTTTAAGGACAGAAGGCACACCATCTGACTTGTGGATAGTCTCAGTGTTGGTTAAGTAGAAGTTGGCCAAAAAAAAAAAAAAAAAAAAAAAAAAGGCCTCATGGTAATTTCAGGCATTGCTGGAGCCCCATAACTAAATAAAGCCATAGGGCACACTCGAGCTCTGTCTCCGAGTTCTAGCTTGCCTCTGCGCTAGCCATATTCTCCTACGGGCTCCCCCATACCAAAACATTGGCAACACAGCAGCTCAAACTTCTACCCTATCAGCTATCAGCATGGACAGCACAGTGCTAACTTAAAAAACAGCAAGCAGAAATTTATTGCCAACAGAATCACTTCACTCCTGAAGGACACAGAAGGCAAGCACATGCACATCTGGTTTTAAACACTGGCAGAGCCAACCCCAGAGCATGCCGAGGGGGTTGGTCTTACCTGAAGACTTGGATCCGAGAGTGGATGACCCAAGCCGGCGGGTGGTCCCCATTCCAACGTTTCTCCGTGAGCTGGGCGGAGCTTTGGACGATGTAGAACTAGCAGAGGAAGGTCTATTACCGTCCACAGAATCTTCATCATCAAAATTTTTATCTAAAGAGTAAGCAGAGAAATCACTGTTTAAAAAAAAAAAAGAAAAAGAAAAGAAAGGTACTTTTCCACCCGAATGTAAAACAACAAACTAGCCTTAGAGAGATGAATGGTGCGCCTACTCTTGGGATCTGAGGTGCCAGCCCAGGGTCTAGAAAGGTCTTAGATAAGTCCAGAATGCAGACACAAACATCATGTTTGCTTTCACATATCTAGAATGCTCTCCTGCTCTCATTTTGGAAAACAGAGAAAAATAAAGAAGAAAACAATCTCTTATAAAAACCACCAACTAAAAACAGTTACTTTAACATTCTGGCGTATTTCTGACCATTCTTGCATGCATTTTTTTTTTTAAGATTTTATTTGAGAGAGAGAGAGAGAGAGAGAGAGAGCGAGCACAAGAGGGGGTAGGGTCAGAGGGAGAAGCAGACTCCCTGCCGAGCAGGGAGCCCGACTCGGGACTCGATCCAGGGACTCTGGGACCATGACCCAAGCCAAAGGCAGTTGCTTAACCAACTGAGCCATGCAGGCGCCCCTGATGCATTTTTCAATAACACCTGACACTAGGCTACTTATCAGTTGGTATTTTGCGTATTTCAAATATGTGCATTTTTCCATGTGATGAAATATGCTTCATAAACACCGTTTTAATGGTTGCTTGGTACTCTGTAATGAAAAAAATGCCACAACTGAAACACTCTTGTTGTTAGGCATTTGGGGTCATTCTAATATGTCACCATTAGAAATAACATTGCAACAAACACCTTCCTACTTGCGTTTTTGTTTAAATTTCTAACAATTTTAAGAAAGAAAAAAAACCCACCTTAGAAGTAATACCTGCCAGGTCCAAAAGTGTAAGTTTTTAGTATACACTGCCAAACTTATTTTCAGAAAGGTGACGTGTTTTTTTTCCTGGAAGTTCAAAGAAGTGCCTGTGTTGTCACACCCTTGCCAACACTAAATACTATCATTTTTATTTTATTTTTTAATAATTAGCCAACTTATAGTACTATCATTTTTAAATGTCAATCAATCTGACAGGTGAAAAAAATGCTTCCTCCTCAATGTTTCGTTTCTCTTTTAGTGGGGTTGAGCATTGTTTCGTCAGCTCATTAACTTCTAAATGTTCTGAGCATCAGTGGATCCAAGGAATATTTCTCAGGTTGCTTTAAAATTAAAAAGAAAAAACATCTTTGGGCTTTTAAAAATCAACATATTTAGAAACAACATTTGGACGACACAAAATTAAAGCTATTGTGGTGCACTATACAGGGTACCATGGGCTTACACAGCATCTGTGAGTCATTTAGGAGGCTAAACAAAGAACCTAAGATAATTAAAGAAAAAAGAAAAGAAAAACATCTGTAGCTGGCAATATTCATGATTTCTGAATAAGGGTGCTAGATCTTTACCAATACATCTAAAGTAAATAATTGTTGACCAGAAAACACAAAGAGCAGCCTGTTTCCTTGATCTGGTCGCTCTTGGCTCAGCTTTCAACAGCCAAGTCTCGCGTCTACTCAGGAGCCTACTGTTCCTCACAACTATCAACAATCCAATTCAAAATACTGGCTTCTTTTATCCAACACTGGTGGGGGTACGACCCATCCTTCTACATGCATATCCTTGTGCAAATTAGCTTCCTCCAAACATGCCTTCCCAGTTCCCAGATTTCCCAGATCAAGCAATCCTTTCACAGATGGTTCTTTCAATCCACACATCAATTTTGAAGAAGTTCAATGGTCTCTTAGCATAGACTTCCCACGTGGATTCAAAAGGTGATTCTTGAACTACAAGCACGTTAACGAGCCCTTCCCAAGGGGAAAAGTGCATCTGATGTAAAGGACAAGGACAACCCAAAGGAAAGGTCCCCCACTGAGCACCGCCAGTATTAGCAGTGACAAGGATGGCTCTCAGCCCATCTGCCCTCAGGGGAGCTCTAATCATTATTCTTGTCAGAATAGTAACAGTAACAGTTCCTTTCTGTGGGAAAGCGGCATAATGAACAGGGGAAGTGAGAACACTATTATGCTTCACTCAGAAATTCATGTTAAGTCTGTTCAGTTTTTCTATCATGGGCAGGCACACCATGGAGAACTGCATTCACTTAGTGAGGATTATTTTCAATGGGCCAAATGTCACCAGAGTTCCTAGAGTTTCTACCGGAGCAAGGACCAGCCAGACTCAACCACTTTCAGCAAACAGGCTAGAAACCAGAGTCTGTAAAACAACTATTTTAGATGGGACAACAGACAGTGCAGAACTGTGAGCCCCAAGAGAGAGAAAAGGTGAGCTATACAGTCACCCAACTTCCTGCCTGGACACAATTTCCAGGCCACTAAATACTGGAAAGGGGACCCCACATCAAACCTGGAAGCCTTGCTAAGTTGAGAAAATGAAGATCATCAGTCTTCAAGGAGGCAGAGGGGGCTGGAAGGTACAGGCAGAGTGCTGAGAACGGGAAGCTACACAGAAAGAGAAAGAGAGCTCTAGAAATGTACTGAGTTGTAGGCCGTGCAAGCAGGAGTGAAAATTCCACACACAAGGCAGGGTGAAAAATGACCAGTAAGCTACAAACTGAGCAATCTCCAATGTCTGCACAAAGTAGGAAGGTGTTCGAGCACCAGAGTAGAATGTTCTTGGAGACTCACTTATGGCACTCACTGAGACCCTGAGAGGCAGGCCTCAGTAGAAGGGCTGAACTATTTTCTGGAGGGAAGGCTACACTAAGCCTGTCCTATCAGCGGTTCAAAACAGGCCTCCAACAGTTAGACAGACTGGCAAGTAACTTAAGGCTCTGCCAAAGCAAAGCATTAACAATCTTTAAGGAACGTCGGGCTCCCTGCTCGGCGGGGAGCCTGCCCTCTCCCCCTCCCACCCTCCACTCATGCTTTCTCTCTCAAATAAATAAATAAAATCTTTTCTTAAAAAAGATTCAGTTATTTTCATGTGACCTCTGTACTAATAAATAAAGTAATTCAGGGCACCTGGGTGGTTCTGTCGGTTGAGTGTCCGACTCTTGGTTTCAGCTCAGGTCAGGATCTCAGGGTCGTGGGATTGAGCCCCGCGTCAGGCTCCACACTCAATGCAGAAGTCGGCTTGGGATTTTCTCTCTCCCCTCTCCTTCTGCCCCTCCCCCTGTTCATACACATGCTTGAGCACGCACTCTCTCTCTCTAAAGTAAATAAATAAATCTTAAAAAAGAGAGAGAAAGAAAGAAATTCATATGTCCTATTGGAATTAGAAATCCAGGGGAAAGGGAAAAGAATGTTGTTTTCCAGATTAGCAGTTGGACACACTGCTTTCCCCTCTCCCACACACTGCTTTACATTTAAAGATACTTCATCTGAAAAGGTGTCTGGAGGGATAAAAGCCCACTGAGCCTTGAAAACTAACACAAAGTAAGTTTGTTCTATGTTTACCAGCTTTCTGAATACCCAGAAAATAAAATCAAATTAAAAAGGAGGTTAGGCCCTCTGAAAAGTACCCAATTTCAATCACCTAGGAAATTCTCTTACATAGAATGTGTTATTCCTTCACTGGACAGAGAAGCTGTATTTGCTGTGGTTAGAGGGGATCCACTCTAGATGCAGCCCCGAAGGAGAAGCCTCCAAGTCCCAGGTTCCAACAGATTTCTGTGTTTCTCAACTAAGCAATCCATACTGAACTCTACGCGTCACTGAAATCCTATTTTCTTTAGGGTTTTCAGCTAAGCAGACAAATGTTAGGCTATATCCTCTTTTTCTAGACCTTTAAGACAAAAATGTGTGAAAATGAGTATTTTTAGCTATGCTTGCTTGTGCCATTAACGTCAGTTTAAAATTTTTCACACTGTAGAACATCTGTCACACAGAAAATGGTCGTACAGAAGGGTAAGTTTTCCCTGAGCCCAAAGGAATAATTGATTCTATCTCAAGCCACCACCACAAAGACCGTCATCCAAGAGTCACTACTCTCATGTGACAGCCTTGGGTAGAAACCTGGGCCTTCAGGTCCCAGTCTTTTAATCCTTTTAAATCACCTGGGCTCCTTTCCCCCTCTTACAGCACCGGGACAAGACATTTTTAAATGACTCATGAAGTTTCTACAGAGCAACACTGTGATCTTTGTCCAACTCTCCATCACCTCATCCCTGGCAACCCCGTAAGTAGGCACGGTGGAGTGAAAAGCAGCAAACAGCACGCTGAAAAGGGCTATGGGTACAAAAGAGATTTTCAAACACAGAAGAGACAGGACCCTTTGAAGAAACAAAAGGCCAGGGACCAAACACAGTCACCCGTGGACCTAAAAGCAAACCAGCAGAATTCTAAGCAAGTCTGTGAACATATTCCTGCACAAGTCTTGAACTGTGGACAAGGTGCTGGGTGGAGGCTAGAGAGTGACCGTGGCTGGCCCGGAGGGCAGAAGCAGTCCGTCAGCCTCACCTGACTCAGGCCCTGAAATCCCTGAGCAAGCCCTCCCCAGGGCCCCAGCTGTCTCAGAACTAAACTTTAACCAAGCCAATAGGGAAAGATATAAAGCGACAAGCCACAGACACATTCTATGGGTCAAAAATGATCAGAGGGGTGCCTGGGTGGCTCAGTTGGTTACACGTCTGACTCTTGGATTTGGCTCAGGCAGTGATCTCATGGGTTGTGAGATCGAGCCCCACGCTGGACTTGGTGCTCAGCAGGGGGTCTGCTTGAAGATTCTCCCCCTTTGCCCCTCCCCTCACTCACTCACACACACATTCTCTCTCAAATAATCTTTAAAAAAAAAAAAAATGATCAGACAGGCCACTCTGTATACCACCATGACTATAGGTTTGGGTCCAGGGGTGGTGGAGAAACAGATCAGTGTAAAGACAAGCCTTCAAGTTCAGTGTCTAGAACCTGGAATTATGAGACTTGGATTGCACTGTCCATTTAGCAAATGTATATACTCATCCACGAGAACAAACAAAATGTGACAGAAACTAAGAAATGTCTGTTCCACTGTCCATCTGCCAGGAAGGCAAGAACCTA